AATTACATTGTAGGAGCTATAGTATTTTTTTGAGATATAGTTCATACGCATATACAGTCTATCAATAAAGCTGCATTAGTTACGTCGTTAACATTGTTGTTCAAGCAAAATGGATCCATCATAGTACGTCATCATTAATTATAATGCTTTCGAATTTAGTGTGGGCGATTATTCAATATGCTGTTATATTGAAGTTTTAGAGAAAACAGAGCTTTCTCACAGATTTTATTATATGAAAACTTATGTTACTAAAAATTATTACAAATAATATTATCAATATATAGGCCTAATATACAGATAAAGATTTTAAAGATAACATGGAGATATAACAAAAAAGAATTTATACAAATGTTTTTATATCCTATTTTTATCACTGCTAAAATTTGAAATTATATCTGCATTTGTGGAACCAACTTGTATGCATTTATGATTCGCGTAACAAACGTTGAATCAAGTCGGACATCTTGGGGTTAATCTAGTTTCGCACGAAAACACGCTAATGTAATTCCTTCCGCTTCCTACTCGGCTGCATTCCAAGCCGCAAGAAGAGGCTGCGTTCCGCAAGAACTCCGCGTTTATATTCCGTTCCTTACTCGAGATAAGGACTCGGCCTTTACCATTTGTAGGTGTCTCAACCACTTCCCTTGTAAAGGACATCTAAGTGATTTGCATATTAATACAGAGAGATATGTTCACTGCTCGCGGTTTTGCCGGAGATTATAAGTGCATAGTAGAGTAAGCGTACGGTCTATTATGTGACTAGAATAGGTGCTGAAGTAGACGATAAAAATTAAAACAAGTGCGAGAAGAATTGTGATCGTGACGAAAATTAATTAAATTTTACCATTATTCTAATTTCCATATTTCAAGGAAAAAAAGGAAAAGAAATGTTAATCAATTATTTTAATATGTGGATACACGAGTACAGAAGATTTTACCTTATCATAATAAAACTTCGATGAACTCATTAAAATTTCAAGCAGACACACATTTTTCTCTGTCGAAAAGAATCGCGGTGCGAGGTAACATTTATTATCTCGTTCGTAGTACTCGTTTAATTGGATGAGAATGTGATCTCCGCGCCGAAGAAAAATTAAAAATGCAACGCAAACAAATTGGTATTCGTGTCGACGCGACGGTATATCATCGGTGAAACGTTACGTTCAGTGTAATTTATTGCCAATTATTCTACACCATGCGATACCTCCGTAAGTTTCTTACAGCGCTAATATCAATTCGTTAAGCGAGAGTAACGCGCTGTTCTCCCCGGCTGCACACAATTAGCAATTAGGTAATTTCGCTCTGTTCCCTCTAGCGCGAGCGACTGATGGAACGTAATTTTTATTTTTCATTGGCAGCAGTTAGTTGCTTTGCGCTGAATGTAAAAAAGATAATACAATGTACAAGTTCCTACTAATGGTTTAATCCTTTTCAGTGCTCCTCATTTAAGTATGTATTTCTCGTGCACCTGCACGAGAAATATGTTTTGCTACACAGAATTTATTAATTTAATTTATTTAAATAAGAAACATTATTTTATAAAATAAATATGCTCTGTATTCTGCATATTTTATATTTTTCGAATCATGAATAAAATCTGTATACAAGCTATTACACATAATAAAAAAATCAGATCTAAAGCAATATTTGTATAATCTAATCGAAATCTTAATCTTCGTTCAAGCTGCGAGCAACAAGCGTTTTCAATTTGTTACTTTTTATTGAATATTAATTGTGGTTATTTGATCCATTGTTGAGACGAATTCCTTCTATGTCTTGGGATGAGTCACCGATTTTATTGTTAATTTGAAACTTGTTCAATATCAATATTTATATGATAAATTAATGTTTCGAATAGATTATAACATCAAATCTGCTAATCTGATGGTGATTTTTCTTTGACATGAAGGGATTGATATTTTAAATTTGTTTGCTGAAGATGGTTCCAAAGTGAACCGAAACGTACTATTGTTGGAATAAAGATTCTAATTTGAATTGAAAAATTAAGATTGCGTATTAATTACCACACAGACTCTCATTCGCCCTGGTTTTGGAGTTTTTTGTTGTTGAATTTGGGAAAGTCCGTAAGAAGATTACATTATTATTATTCGAAATCTTAATCCCCACCCATCATCGCAAAATTATCTAAAAGTATATTAATATATATCAATAAATATTTGTTAAAATTTCCTCTTATGCAGCAAATTGACTTTTATTACGTTACATTTAACTTCTCAATCTTCATCGTAGCTATATTTTAAAGTTTCAATATTTACCTCAAAATAGAAGACTATTCTCAAGTCGACATTTTCCAAGTAGTTGTATGTGAAGATTTGTTGCGGAATTTTCAATTATACCTCTCCCGAAATTCTCTTGCTAAGAGAAACTGTGCTAAGTGCTAGTTCTCCTTTGCTGTTTGTCAAAGTAATAGCGTGACCTACATCAATATAATGTAGCTGTTCATCTAATTAATTTAAAATTAGTTATCTTCAAAATTAAAGAACTTTTGTAATATATTTAAGTTTTGGAAAGAGTGGATCTTAATTTCTTTCTCTAGAAGAAAGCTTGATTTTATATTGAATTTTGAGGTGATTGAGCATTAATAAAATTTGAAAAATGTTATAAAATAGTAAAACTACTATTATAAATAAGGTTCGTGAAAAAAATTGTTTTAAATTGATAAAGATCTATAAGTATTTGTCCAATTAAAGTAAAACGTAAACATTACTAAAGTCATGACAAATCGTTGCAATTCTGCACATAACTGTCAATTTGCGAATGTCCGTTGCTTTCAAATTTCTCCTTAGGCGGAGTAATTGCTGTGACATCGACAATTGAAGCAGAAAATCGACTTGTATCTACTTTGTTTCCTTCTCTACTGTAATTTCCTAACGCTTCTTCGCACGAGTTGCGTTTCTGTTTGAGAGAAAGAGAAGAGGTTCAATTACTTCCACGCTATTATTCTCGCCAATGCCTTTGGGAAACTTGTCGGCGGGCTATTTTCGAAGTACGATTCGAATCGGATTCTTGGATCTGACATGTACAAATATACGTTAAAACGTTGTCTTCCTTTTTCCGTTCTCGTGCGTCATGATAACTCGTAATTTAATTTCGTATCTGGAGATTTCATTGAAATAACGGTTAAATAACAGAAAGAATATTATAAGAATATTACACAAGTGTCTAGTGATGTAAACTAAATATTCCGCAAATAAATTCTAAAACAAATCTTAAAAAAAAACAAATGCGAAAGATTAAAAAAAATATATAACAAATTTTTTATCAAATTATTTCAAAACGTTTGAGATAAAAGTTTTTTTTTTAATTATGCTGCATTTATAAATGTAGAAATTGTTCGCAGTATCGATTTCCAGTTTAATTCTTACTTCTCATTTATAACTAATAGTGTATGAATATTATAAATTGTTGGTTCAACAATTTCCTATTAAAAAAGAAAAAATATAGCAAAATGTTAAGAGCCACTTTGTCTCGTACTATTTTCAACGAAGTGCTATTGTTTTTACACAAAAATAGATTTTTTTTCGCAGACTCTCGAGTTTACACTGAAAACGAGCACTGCAACAGCTGTCGCATGCACCATATACTGTATAGAGGATGTAGGCGGGAAAAAGTTTTTAACGTATATTACGTGACCTGGTTTCATGCAAATAAATACTGTTATATGCAGAGAACGTCTGCTAAAGGCTGTAACCCCAAACGATATCGATGATACTCCAAATTGGATAACGACGTTCGAGAACACGCTCGATAAATTTTAACAATGCAACTCGCGTTTAACACGAAGGTCGACATAAACGACTCGATAAAAATAGCACTTGCGTTCGACTATCAAAGTCACTATGATCACAATTAAGTTTTTTTCATATCCACTTCGCTTCTTTCCGTCGTGTAAACGCTTTAATACACCCTCATAAACGTTGTAAGTGTTTCGTTCTCCGAGAGGCAAAAGATTTATTAAAGGCGCATGGCAAAGTGCTTTTCAATAGATTCATTTTCCACATGATAAACGTCATTACATGCTACCGTAAGTATCAACTATTCACTTCGAAGCACGAATATCAGTCTAGTCTCGCCTGTTCAATGCTTTCAAAGGCCAGCCCTTTAATTTTGGATTGAATGTTCACAAGGAACGCAAGGCTTCTTCCAACTTAGTGCAAAAGCAATATGTGTACTTTACCAGGACTCCCTTGTAAATGAAATAAGTGTACCGTGACATTCGAGCTTCATATTCGGTCTTTGGCTAAAAGCAGTGCTGAGTCCGTCCTAATGAATCGATTTCACCAAATTGTCGAACTAGGATATTCACGTACTTGTAACGTCAATATACAGCAGTAATAATAAATTGAGTGTCTGAATCATTAATATGTTTACTAATAACATTAATTGAGCTCGCTTCGCTTACTATTCAATAAAGTTCAAAGTCTCAACTAAAAGTGAAATTAATTATATATATTGGTTGTAGCTTTATCAGTTTCACAGAAATACTGAAGTAGTAATAGAGTATTTCTAGTCAGTCACTATTTTCCAGTAGTCAATTCTCTTGCGGTAAAACGCGTTTGTCATTGCGACATTTAATTTTCTTTTTGATTCAAATAATCTTAAAAACAAAAATATTTTAATAATTGTAAGTATCATTTAATAATAGTAAATAAAATTATTTAATTTTGAAAATTGTATTATAAAATTCAGTTAAAAAGATGATATTCCAACATACAATATGGATTATTCAGTTATTTCTTTTTTTTCTTATAAATATGTATATAAAATAATTTGCAAAAAAGCATTAATTATATATCGAAAAATAATTGTATTAATAAATAATATAAGCAGTCTGAAATTAACAATTAAAAGAGGATATGTAAATATATTAATAATTATCCATAAAAAGTTGCTGCTTTACAACTGTTTAAACATTTAATGGATGTATGGCATCGGCAGATATGCCTCTTCAATAAAAATATCCAATTTCTCATACTTACTCAACCATATCAGAATCCTTAGCCACACGACACTCAACACCACGATCCACCAGGCATTTTCCGGTCACAGGATCGGGCGGTGCAAGATTGATGTAGGGAGGCTCCTCCAGAAAGGTTATTTTGAGGTGAAATTTCTCTGGAACGCCTTGCGGAGGAGTATGGGTATTGCCCGGCCAGACGATGTCCTTAATATCAAGACCCTCTTTCTCCCAAGACTTCCAGACACCGATCTGCCGACAAGCAGGCGAAAACAAATGTGGTCAAATATAGTACTAGCTTTAACAAATTGCTTCTAAACACATCATTAGCATACTTTTGTTTTTAGTAATTAAAATGTTCTTTTTTAAATTCTGTTATATAGTATAAACCAAAGTAAATGACGGCACAGTGAGAATATTACTTAACATCAATTTATCAGAGCGGCAAATTTGAAATTTCAAGAATTCTAACAAAACCTTTTTTGTCTTTATAATTTTATTTGAGTGTTATTTTTATTTTTCTCTCTCTTCGTGACTTATATATATACATATAACCTTTGATGAAAATATATTCCGGTTTCTCTTTGAAAATACTATTACAATTCTTTAACATTTATGCATGATCCATTCAAATAATTTAAAAAGTATCTTTTGTGAAGTGGAAATCAGATTTTTAGTAATTCTTTACAATATTCAATACTTTCATTTAATGTGCGTAGAGCGTTTTAAGATGTAACTTCAACTTAGATTGCGTTAAATTTTGTATTTCTGGCGATTTATGCTTGATTGCGTGCAAAGTTGTTTTCAGAAAGTATTGAGGATGAAAGTATAACGTGAGATGGAAGTAAAATTACAAAGTTTTTCTTGGATTTCTCTGACTCGCTACGTAACGAGTCTGATGCGAAAGAAGGTTTAGTTGCACACCAATATAAATTCGACGTGCACTTCAACTTGCTTGCTTTCCAGGCGTATCATTTCTCACTATCGAACGCGCAATTTACTTCCTATTCAGACGAAATTGTATTCAGTAATGGAGTGCCATTATTCAACGTCAATAAAAATTTTATAATACATCCATCATTGCTGGCGTTATCGTTTTAGAAAATCTAACATTGGTAATGATTGGTCTGATCGGCTGAAACTTTAGATACTTTGCTTACTGCCATGAAGAAAGAACTAGGGCAGGGGGGTAAAGAGAGTAGAAATATAATTACGTTCCGATTAATTTTTTGACAGCAAAAATATAATTCAAACAGAAATAATCGGTCCATAGTTAGCTTGAACTGGAAATTGTATAAATTCACAAAAAGAAATATGATTAAATACGAAAAATCGCCTTAACCAAATATGGCCTTTTTCACAACTTATTAGTTTAGTTTTTATAGTTATATAAACTTATCGGTTTAACACTAATTATATTTCTGCTTGGATACGCGTATAACCTTATACGCGTATCCAAGCAAAAATATAATTAGCGTTAAGCCGATAAGTTTAAATAAATACTAAAGATATATATTATAAAAAACTATTTGAAAGTAGGAATGTAAAATAAAGTATTATAGTAATATATATAATTTTAAAGTAATAATTCAATTTAAAAAATACAAAAACCGATTTCATGATTTACATGTTAAATTCCAACAATTTCATATTTCTTGTTGCAATATTAAGCATTGTAGTTTTGGTTCGAGCAATTTGATAACGGATGTGCTGTCGAAATGTGAAAATAACGCTGATGTAATTTACGCCAGTAATTAAAACCATTTGCACATATATCAAACATTTCTGTATGTTGAAACATATATGGTCGGCCCAGGTCATGTGGGTGAAAATACGTGACTGTCGCGTCGAAAAGAAGCGTGGGCGGCATTGAAAAGTGCACTCAGCTTTCCTGTATCCCCTGCATTACATTCGTAAAAGCTTCGTAAAAAATAAAATTTATCAATTTTTAATCGTAGATCCTCGTCATTGAGTTATGACGATATTCATAGAAAAAGAAACAAAATATACATAAAAAGTTTTAATAAACTATTTAATTTTGATATTAAATTTTGTGAATTCTTTCGATTTTGCTATCTGAAATTGAAGAATTCTTTGATATTTTAATATTAAAACAAAGTTCAATAAAAGACGTAAATTAACAACATTGTTACTATAATATTCTCTAAATATTAAAAAAAATAATTTCTCGCATTTGTTATATATGATGATAGAAATAAAATGTTCTCTTAATATATCAAAAATAGATGTTATTTCTAATGATTAAAAATGAATTTTTGAATTTATCACAAAAAATGCCTTTGTTTTATATTAGGAAAAGGAAATCAGAAAAGTTTGAGAAAATGATCTGTTAATTCATACTTAGTATCTGAAAGCAATATCAATTTTTGTTCTCATTATATGAGATGGTTGCTTTTGCCTACAAATCGATTGCCTACAGTATCTTTTGCCTACATCACTTTTGCTTACAGTTCGATTGCCTACATGTATTATTGCCTACAGCTCGATTGCCTACATGCGCTTTTGCGCACAAATAAAAATTTTAGAAACGGAGTTACTTTTGTCTACATATACTATTGCTTACAGCTCGATTGCCTACAGCTCGATTGCCTACATGCGCTTCTGCGCACAAATAAAAATTTTAGAAACGAAGCTACTTTTGCCTACATGTACTATGGCCAACACGCGGAGGCGTTACGACCGCCTTTTGCGCCCTACGCTGGAATTTGCTTTTGCGCCCCATCACAAGGATTGCTAAGTATCTAAAGCACCAATCCCCCGCCAATTGCAACGAACCAACAATTCTAAAAAAAAAAACGAATTTCAAACAATTTGCATAACATAGGAATACGAATACAATAAAGGGTCTAGCCGAATAAGCATATGAAAAATGCCGAACCAAATCCAATTTTGAGTATCTAATATTGTTAAGCTCGATAAAAGGTTATTTTACACCAAATTTCAACCTGCTAAATTTATTCATGTAGCAGTAATGATGAAAAACGTCAATTTCAATTTTTTATTTTTGTTTTCCTATCGTGTGAATTAAAAAATCTGAAAAAATTTGACACACTTTTTAGCATGATATTACATCTAAAAAGAATTTTTTTAGATTTTTTATGGAAAATGTGAATTGAAAAGCGGAAGCAGCAACTCAATATGGACGCGCGTTTTGACATAAATAAAAAAAACTTTGTACTTTAGAGAATAAGAATAAAATATTTAGCGAAATAAATCTTTGCACTAATATGATCGTCCTTTCTAGGAAAGATAACTTTATACTCACTATCATTTGAGAGAGAGGGGGGAGGGAACGCAAACGACGTTATTGTAATAATTAAATATAAAAAAAATTAAGTCTATATTTTTTCTTTACGCTATAATTTCATTTAAAAAATTGGTTTCTAATTATACATGCCATACTGAATAAAATATTCCAAAATAATGTATGTATAAATATAATAATATTATATTAAATACGTTTCTGGCGGGGAAATACAAATAAAAAATATTAAACACAAAAAAATATTTAAAAACCTGAAGAAATTTGACACACTTTTTAGCATATTACATCTAAAAAAATTTTTTTAGATTTTTTAAAAGTGTGGAATATTGTTTTAAAAATTTAAAAACTGAGTTTTAATTTTTAAAACAATGCTCCACGCCTTTAAAAAATCTAAATACGACATATTTCATTCATTAGGGAAAGATCAATTCACCATAATTTATTGAAGACAGTACTCGAATATTTTCGATAAAAACATGCATTTAAAATTTGTATGTTTTTTTAATTGACATTTTTCATAAAAAATCTAAAAAAATTCTTTTTAGATGTAATATCATGCTAAAAAGTATGTCAAATTTTTTTCAGATTTTTTAATTCACACGATAGGAAAAAGAAAATGAAAAATTGAAATTGACGTTTTTCATCATTACTGCTACATGAATAAATTTAGCAGGTTGAAATTTGGTGTAAAATAATCTTTTATTGAGCTTAACAATGTTAGGTACTCAAAATTGAATTTGGTTTGACATTTTTCATATGCTTATTCGGATAGACCCTTTCATATTTTCTTTTGTAATATTTGACGCTTAATGCAACATACTATTATATTTTCTGGCTTTAGTTTTTGAAAATATTCTGATTACGTCTCAATTTGTAGGACTGTCAAGACTGATTACATAATTAAAACTGTTCACTAATTCTTTTTCAGTTGGTATCATAGCTAAACTGAGTGACCGCGTCTGCGTCATTGTATTTCTCAGATAATTCTTTATTATTTTTAATTTTGAGAAAGATGCCTCTGTAGTTGCCACAGACATTGGCACAGTTAATAAGATTTGTAACGCTATCGCTAAATTTAAAAAGATTTCCAGAAAACCACTTTAATTAATTCATTTAAAATATCAAGTAAGATAGAGCTTTATATGTATTTACAAGAATAGCGCTACCTATTAAAATTTTGCGCCCCTCCAAATTTTGCGCCTTACGCTGGAGCGTACCTACTCAGTGTCTCGTAACGCCTCCGCCTACATGTACTATTGCCTACAGCTCGATTACCTACATGCGCTTTTGCGCACAAATATAAAATTAAAGTTAAGTAAGAAAATAATTTATATTTTTAGGAAATCTGTCATGTGAACAGTGGGCTGTCATAGACAGTGTCCGCTTGGAATATTTTTCCAAAAAATCTAACCCTAACCAAATCATTTGTTGGTGTGAGGTAGCCCTCATTTCACGTGGAAGATTGTGAGCTATAGGCAATAATGTATGTAGGTAATCGAGCTGTAGGCAATCGAGCTGTAGACAATCGAACTGTAGGCAATAGTATATGTAGGCAATAGTACATGTAGGCAAAAGTAACTCCGTTTCTAAAATTTTTATTTGTGCGCAAAACAATCGAGCTGTAGGCAATCGAGCTGTAGACAATCGAACTGTAGGCAATAGTATATGTAAGCAATAGTACATGTAGGCAAAAGTAACTCCGTTTCTAAAATTTTTATTTGTGCGCAAAAGCGCATGTAGGCAATCGAGCTGTAGGCAGTAATACATGTAAGCAATCGAACTGTAGGTAAAAGTGATGTAGGCAAAATATACTGCAGGCAATCGATTTGTAGGCAAACGGGATCCCCCCTCATTATATATTATTGAATAGAGATTTATATGAAATATTCAGAATAAGAAAATTCCGCACAAGTATCTACATAAAAAAAATTGATAAATACGGAATTAAGATGTAAAGTATTACATA